GCTTCACTCGACAAATACTGCCCCACGTCCTCAGGCCTTCCCTCAGCCTCACCAGTGGGCCTGGCAGGAGCGTGTTAAGATCCCGTTTACATGGGAGAGCCCCCAGGCTCCCGGAGCACAGTGGGGCCCTGGGCACTGGGGCTGCTGAGCCAGGCGGGGTCTGTGCCCTGGTTGCCCCGGTCCTGAGGCTAGACTCACTCCGCCGCAGACGCACTCGCTGGAGGGCTCGGTGAGGGTGCACGGAAGCCTGGCCTATGTCCCCCCGCAGGCCTGGATCATCGGGGGAGCATTCGGGAAAACATTCTCATGGGAAGCCAGTACGACAAGGCCCGGTAAGCTTCTCGAGGGGTCGGGCGGGACGTCGGGGTGTGTGGCTGGTTTGCGGAGGGATCCCTCGCTGCTAAGAGTGACTTGGCAACTGCTAACTCTTGCTGTGTGCTCACTTATATGCATCCCTGTGTTTCCTTCTCGTCGGGAAAGAAATATTCTTATCATATCCATTTTCGAGGCAAGTCAGGTGAGGCCCCAAGAGGTGAAATAATTTGTCCAAAATCATTCAGCTGCTAGGATATGACAGAGCCAGAATTTGAACCCGGTTGCTTTCAGAAACTTCAGGCTTAACTATTATGCTATTTTGGCTCAAAGTAACCCTCCCCTTCCAAAACTGTTACTTTAACCCTGGGTTAATTAATTCCTAACCCCTAAGTCAAGAGGGAAAACACATGGGGTGATGAGGTTGTGCAACATAGAGGGAAGGAGTTTGGATTCACAGCCCAGTGGGCCGCCCGCCTCCCACCCACACCCCTCCTTGCCCTTTGCGGCCTCTCCCTCCCAGGGTCCCGGGGTGGACCTGCTTGAGACATGCACTTGGAAATCGTGAGTGAAGTCTAGTCAGTGGAGGATCCAGGAAAAGTGCCCTGATTGCTGCAGCTGTGCTTCCAGCTCTGCTGGACTCTGGCCTCCTTCGACTGTTTGCTTGATTTTGCAATCTGTCCCTTGTAACAGTGCTGAGGGGCATAGATATGTGTGTGTATAAATCGGTCCTCTCCAGCCAGTTGCTCTGTGGGCGCCTCAACATCAGGTCCAATGCCGACTTGTGAGCACCCTGCTAACTCAGCCCCCACCCCACCTGCTTCTCTTCTCAAATTCCCAGTTAGGCTTAACGGCATCACTGAACTGTGCATCCCAAGGAGCCTGACGCCTCCACCTCTGATACCTTCCACATCTAATTGGTCAGCAACCCTGGACGACTCAGCCTCCTAAAAAGCTCTTGTATTTCCCTTCTCTTCTCCATCTCCACTGCCAGTTCTGGGCTGTGACCTCCTGCTTAAACTGTGCCCACTGCCCCTGCCTTTGGGTCCCTGTCTCTCGCCCTCTCTGTTCCTCTCTGTGCACCGCTGCCAGGTCAGTTGTCCTAAAAGACAGCTCTCATCTTGTCTCTGCTCGGCTTTCAGACTGATATGACTCATAGAGCAGCTTTGAAATATCTGTCAAAAATAAAAATGCACCAACTTTTGACTCAGAAAATCCACAGTTAGATATTTAATGCATAGATTATGTCCCCCATGAACACCAAGACCATGTACAAGAATGTTCACATCGAATTATTCAGCGTAGCAAAAGATTAGAAACAACCCAAATGTCCAGCATTAGGGCACTGGTTAAACAATTTATGGCACATCCGTATAATGGAATACTGTAGTGTCATTAAAACAGTATAAATGTATATCTGTTGCACGTGTACATATATCAGTAGATTATTTCTGAATATGTGCATAGGAAACTCTATTAGTGACTGATTCCGAGGAAAGCAACTAAGGGTCAAAGATGCGAGGGAGACTCGCTTTTTACCTTTTCTTCCTTTTGTTCTGTTCAAATATTTACCAAGTGCACGTGCTGGATTAAAAGAAATGAAGGTTCTCAAGATTGCTTTGGCCTTAAAAAACTACAAATAGAGCTACCATACGACCCAGCAATCCCACTACTGGGCATATACCCTGAGAAAACTATAACTCAAAGAGTCATGTACCAAAATGTTCATTGCAGCTCTATTTACAATAGCCAGGAGATGGAAGCAACCTAAGTGTCCATCATCGGATGAATGGATAAAGAAGATGTGGCACATATATACAATGGAATATTACTCAGCCATAAAAAGAAACGAAATTGAGTTATTTGTAGTGAGGTGGATGGACCTAGAGTCTGTCATACAGAGTGAAGTAAGTCAGAAAGAGAAAGACAAATACCGTATGCTAACACATATATATGGAATCTAAGGGGAAAAAAAAAAGATCATGAAGAACCTAGGGGTAAGACAGGAATAAAGACACAGGCCTACTAGAGAATGGACTTGAGGATACGGGGAGGGGCAAGGGTAAGCTGTGACAAAGTGAGAGAGTGGCATGGACATATTTACACTACCAAACGTAAAATAGATAGCTAGTGGGAAGCAGCCGCATGGCACAGGGAGACCGGCTCGGTTCTTTGTGGCTGTCTGGAGGGGTGGGATAGGGAGGGTGGGAGGGAGGGAGACAAAGAGGGAAGAGATATGGGAACATATGTATATGTATAACTGATTCACTTTGTTATAAAGCAGAAACTAACACACCATTGTAAAGC